GCATCATAACTCCTTCAGCCCGAACTTGCCTTCGGCCTAAAGGAGTGGGGGACTGGGGTATACCCCTCGGGAATCATACAGAACGAAAATTTCTTCATACAAACAATTTACAATTGACGCATGCAGCCTCCGGACAAACATCAAAGTGGAAACCCTTCGGCAAAGGCAGGATATCACAAGTTTTCACCAAGTCACTTGCGGAAATGGAGCAGCCCTCATAACAACACATACGGGCAACACATCCATACTCTTCCTCAGGAAACCCCCGACATGTGGGGGACTGAGGAGAGCCTTCGGCAGTTATACAGGTGTTATACTTCCCTCAGAAAACCCTCGACATGTGAGGGACTGAGGGAAGCCTTCGGCAATCAGTAGAAGGCGAGTCCTCAGACAAGGGCGCCCAACTAAATGATGAAGCCCCCAGGAGAATCAACACATCTACTCCTTTTCCCTCAAGTACCTTTCGGCAAAAGGAGTGAGGGACTCCTGATGGAGTATATGGCCCGGGAACCCCCGGCCCATAGACTCCTGCTTCTCCTGCACAAGTTCATTGGGCCCAGGGAACAACTCAGGCCCAAAATGCAGCGGCCCAAGCCTCAACGGGGCCCAGAATACGCACTGGGAGGCCTTCGGCCTCCTTGACCGAAGGCTCCAAACCTCACAGGGTAGCCTTCTCTGGCATAAGGGGCTACTGGGAGAAAACGGCGAAAAACATGAGCCTTCGGCATTATCGAGCCCTCGACATCAGAGAAGCCCCCGGCTAAACCATGCCTCCGGTCACACAGGGCCTTCGGCTACACAGGGATCCTTGGCTACATGGAGCCCTCGGCAACACAAGGAGCCCTCGGCCAAACACGCTCAATCATCGAAGATTCCTTTGGGAGACAGCCAACCACCGCATTTAAAGCCACGTCACATCCGCCAACCGCATTCAATGCGGTGAACGTACCACTGCCGGTGCCAACCGGTTGATGTGACCCTTCGACCGTTGGATTACTGACACGTGTCCTCTCATCGCATTTATTGCTGCTATAAATAGCAGCCCATTTCTCCTTGTAATGGACATCATCTGCATCTCAACTCCACATCTCGAGTTCATTTAATAAAATCGACTCTCTCTCCTCCTATTTGCTCTGACTTCTCTCTAAGTTATTCCCGTAATAACCTCTCGGATAAGATACCCCCCGGGTAGACTATCCATCAAAGTGTCTTTAAATTCATCATGTTTATGGTCATATTGTAGTGTGTTGAAACTGACACGCAGGGACGGAGATATGTATTAGTCAAGGAGAGCCTTGTCCCCTCCCAACCTTTTCATTTTCCTTCATTTAACCTAATAAAATTTCCAAGCCTCCCTCAATTTTATTTATTTTAATAAATAGTATAAAATACTTTGATTATCTACCAATTTTAATAGTTAATTAAAAAATCCCCATCATCAAATGGTGCTCACCCTATTCTGGATGTGTAAATGTGTAATTACTTTATAACAAAAAGTATGTTACATGATACAGTATTAAATATGTTTGAACAATAAAGTACGATCCTAAAATACATACGAGGAATTCGTTGTTAAAATTAAAGGGTGGTCAACATATAAACACTTCCGGGGGGCCTTCCATAAAATCCTGGCTCCGCCCTTGCTGACAAGGAACATGATGCTTGCACATGTGACTGAATCATCCAGCGCAGCTGAAGTAGAGCGCTTTGCAGGTTGGGTTTTGAAGAAAGGAGAGGGTATTTTGGGAGGCAATGAGGATGAGGAATTAAAAGTCCACATACATGCCAAATTTCTTGTTCCAATGACAGATGATCCAATTGAGTCTATTGTTAATAGTACGTATCCAGATTTCTTGACTCATGGAAATGACATTTTATATATGAGCTCTAGGGCCATTCTTGCGCCTACGATTGATGAGTGGGACAAGGTCAATGATTACATGTTGGGGCTCATTCCAGGCAAGGAAAGGACATATTTAAGCTGTGATTCAACATCTTCCTCTGACTCAGATAACGATCTCATTCGAGACATTTATTCTCCGGAATTTCTTAATATCATCAAATGTTCTAATGTGCCAAGTCAGGAACTCAAGCTTAAGGTGGGCACTTTAAGGTGGGGGTGCCTGTAATGCTTATGAGAAACATAGATCACATTATTGGGTTATGCAATGGTATGACACTCATGGTAATTAAACTTGGGACTCGTATTATTGAGACTCGGATGATGTCAGGACCAAATGCTGGTGAAACTTATTCCTAGACTTAGTTTAACGCCTTCGGACTTGAAGCTCCCTTTCATGTTTTAGCGTAGACAGTTTCCTCTTATGGTTAGTTATGCGATGCCGATTAATAAGAGTCAAGGACAACTGTTAGAAAGGGTTGGTATATTCTTGCGGCATCCGGTTTTTACTCATGGACAACTGTACGTTTCAACATCGAGAGTTACAAGTCCATCAGGATTAAAAATTGTCATATGTGACGATGATGTTAAATTGCTCTAAATGTTGTTTACAAAGAAGTGTATAAAAATTTATAATTTCTTTCGTGTGTGATTTCTTAGATGTTAAATTCTATGCTTCTTATTTATAAAATATAATTCTATTATCATTTAAACCTTTACATTATCGATGAAATTAAATGTTTTCCCATGCAACACATGGGTCAAAACTAGTATAATAACAATGTCACACTTACTTTTATTGTATCGTGTATTTTCAACTTTGATATTCACAATGACATAGTCCTAAATCTAATTCACTTTCATTGCTAGTGTCTCTACCATTATGGTGTTTCTTTATGCACAACTGATAATTTGCCTTTAAATTCCTTGATACTCCCTATGTATCACAATAAGTGTTTCACTTTTTTTTTTGGTTGTATCAAAATAAGTTCTCGCTTCCATTTTAGGAAATATCTCCACCCCAAAAATTGCTACAATACACTTTCATAAAGTAAACAGTACTGCTACAATACAAAAAAAAACTCTTATTTGTTCAAAAAGCGTATAGTAAACGTACAAACTATCTTAAACTACGTAAAAAGCTAGTGGGACTCTTATTGTGATACAGAGGGAGTACATGTTATTAGGGATGGCAAGAATCCCTGTCCAATTGTCCCATTCCGATATATCCCGGAACTGTACTAGTGTTGTCCTCTTCCATTTGGGACCTATTCATTTTATCCCGCACCAGTTGTGTGCCGGTTTAATACGGGACATGACCGAGACACTAGAAGGTTATCCCAAATTGTTCTGTTGTCCTGTTTGTAGTAACTATATATAATTTTTTAGCATGTGACTGGTTTGTAGTGACAATTCAAAAAATAAATGATAGTATGTTTTTCATTTTTCAAGCCAAAATTTTAAATTAAAAATAATACCTACCATAACTACTTACTAACTTAGGTGTTTATCTCACTCTATTTATTTGCATATGAGTATCTCACAACTAGAACACATAATTTTGAATAAATTAATTCATATTGTTGGTCCAAAACAGGACGCTCGTAGGCTTTTAGGAAAGCTACGTAAGAACACTCAAGCAAAAATCAGGAAAGTAATACGAATAAGGAAAGTAGCTAGAGAGTTTGATAGCCAGAAATAACTTCTAGAAGTTCCCCCCTAATCTGAATTACAAGCCGCCTTTTATAGGCGTATACAAATCGTAACCGCTATCGATAAAAATAACTAATTAATTACAACATTAATACGAAATTAAATACATAATTAAACAACGCATTAATTGCTTGACCGTTACTTTTTGCAGCTGGAAGGTCGGGCGGTCTGACAGGCTCCCCGCTGGACTGGTAGATAGGCTCCAGGTTGTGGACTTGGATCCACGGGTCCAAGTTCGGGGCTTGGGCCGATTAGGCTCTGGGCCTAGTCCTATTACTCCACCACATATGTTGCTTTGTTTTAAACTCTAATTTCATTTTTTGTTAAATCTAATTAAAATCTAATAGCTTTTAGGTTTTTGTAAATACATAGCTTGTTATGAACATCAATTGACTTTTAAAATTTTAATATTTTGGTACATAATAATTTAGAGATGCTAATATATTTTAATTACAAATGATGATTTTTTATAATACTCTTTTGTTTGTTTGGGACATCTCGAACTGTTCCGAATCATCCTGGTTCCGATTTAAATGAGATAAGAATAGGACAAAGGCTTTTCTCATCTCATCCCGTACCGTTATTACTAATTGGGTTAGGACCGAGATAACGTTAGTCCCGAATTGTCCCGACCGCTGCCTGATCCTACATGTTACTAAAGGAAAAATTGCATGTGTTTATTATATCTTGGCCCATACCAAATGTGTCTAGGCCTGTCAATGGGTCGGGTCTAGACTCGGACCCGATCCGAATCCGCCACTTTATTTGAGGGTATGGATCTAAATTTAGAACCGTTTCACGGATCCAGATCCGAGCGCGTTACATGATAAAGAAAATGGGCCGGATATGAATTTTTAAGTTCCGGCTTGTTTTAGACCCGACCCGTGATGATATAATTATAGTTATAATTTTTTACACACACACAATATACATAGAAATATTTAAACATAAAATAAGGAAAATAATCAAATATAAAAAATGTTTTAAACATAGGTATTGTATTGTTCATACAGAGTAATGGATATAACAACATTTTGCTTATATATATATATGATTTCTTCCACCATGAATATTTTTTTTGTTATATACGGAGTATTATACTATGTATTTGTTTGCATATGTCATTTAGTTTTTTTGCGGGTATATCGGCCCGGATCCGAGACCTGTCGGATCCAAATCTGGAACATATGTTTAGGACCCGAAGGGTAAATGGGTACGGATCTTGACAAAAAAATTCAACGAATATGGATATGAAATTTATAGTTCCAACCCGTATCCGATCTGTTGACAGGTCTAGGTGTGTCGTGCAATACTGTAGTGTATTGTTTTCAACATATAGAATTCCATTTTGAAACAGAACGAAAAAACACAACATATTGGGCTTTGATATGAACCAGGCCCGCATACTGAAAACCCTACCGACATTTAAACCTTCTCAAATATGCGTGAAATAGCTGAAAGCCCTACGGCTGATCACCGGTGGAGAGGAGACAGCAGCAGCAATGGTGTCCGGATCGGGAATCCGCGTCAATCGAGTGGTGGTGGATGCGAGGCACCACATGTTGGGGCGTCTGGCTTCTATTCTGGCCAAGGAGTTGTTGAACGGTGTGAGAGTTGTGGTGACGAGAAGTGAGGAGATCTGCCTCTCCGGCGGCCTTGTCCGTCAGAAAATGAAGTACCACCGCTTTCTACGCAAGCGCATGAACACTAAACCTTCTCACGGTCCAATCCATTTCCGTGCTCCTTCAAAGATCCTATGGCGTACCATCCGAGGGTTGGATCTTCCCCATTCGTTTGCTTATACCTATAAGAATGCATTCTACTAATCTTTACAGTTATACGTGATTATATGTGATTAATACTTGAGCAATTTGAATGTCCAGGATGATTCCGCATAAGACTAAGCGCGGTGCTGCTGCTCTTGGCCGACTGAAGGTTTTTGAAGGGGTGCCTACGCCGTATGATAAAGTGAAGAGGATGGTTATTCCTGATGCTCTCAGGTGATTTATCTTTTTTATTCTTCTTTCGTGTGCAAAGCTGTTTGTTCTTAAAATTGTTTATCTTTTTTAAGATTGGTTTTGTTAGTGATTCCTAATGTTCTGGTTTGTGCATAGGGTTTTGAGGCTCCAAGCTGGTCACAAGTACTGCTTATTGGGAAAACTTTCATCTGAGGTTGGATGGAATCACTATGACACTATCAAGGTAAAAATATGTGCATAGTATTTGACTTTTTTTTTTACAAAAATGTAGTGTTGGCATTTCATTGAATTGATCTCTTGTTTAGCCCAGTACAGAGTCAGAGTATATCTGAAGCCCTTTCATTTGGAGATTTAGTTCCATGTGTTTGAAACTCATTAATTTAGTTAATTCGTTTTTTTATGTTTGAACTTCGTTAATGGATTACATTGTCAATGTTGGTCCCTGACTAATTCATACCTTTCTGATTTACTCTTCTAAATCTATCAAAGTAGTTCCATAATGAATGAAACACCTATATCACCTCGTGTGAATTGAGTATGCATGTTTGTGATTATGCATATTTAGACCTTGTGAATTGAACTTGGTATATTTGATAAAGCAACTGACCAAAACTAGGCTAAACAATATTTGAGTGTCTTGGAAACTTTGTTTGGGTTAATTTCACGAAATTCATCTTTTCTGATTTTCATTGTAGCTCGCTTCTTTATTTTGTCAACTTATAATACTCAATTGTGCAGAAGACTTGACTTTATTAAATGTTGATATTCTGTTGTATTTATATACTACTATTACTTCAAACTGTAATTCATGAATTTTTACACGTGAAACCAGCATTTATAACTGCCACTTATATTTTTAATAGGCCCTGGAGAATAAGAGGAAGGAGAGAGCCCAGGCAACATATGAGAGGAAAAAGCAATTGACAAAGTTGAGGCTCAAAGCTGAGAAGGCTGCAGAAGAGAAACTTGGTTCTCAGCTTGATATTCTTTCCTCTGTCAAGTACTGAATCTATACAAAAGGCAGATGATTAGAATGGATTTTTCATGTCTAAAGGGCTCCTGAGAATGCTAGCTGGGAGATTTCCGTCTTTTGTTTACTGCGATTTAGGAACATCTTGTTACATCTGTTGGACATCTTGAGCTATTGCGGTGTTAACTCTTTTATATTTATAACGTACCAATTACTTTCGTGGCATATGTGCAAAATATCATCTGTGCTATTTATTGGTTTTGATGGGTAAGGTTTTGTCCAATTTTAGTAAAATTCCCAAAATCAAACAAACATGATGAGTTGTCAAAAACTAAATGGTAGGAATTAATAGTCTAGTGTACTTTAAATCATGTGAATGATGTGATATATAATGTACTCTGCTGCGCACATGAAGGCAATCGGTTTGTGCATGAAAACGTAAATCATCAAAAAAATAGTATACATATGAAACTCTTTAACATTTGAATTAAATGGTAAATCATTCAAATCCATCTCCAATTCTCCATCATTCAGCTTGAAAATTGGTATCATGATGCCTCGGGTGGCACTACAATCCTGTGGTTAGGTTTTGTCTGTTCCGCTCAATTTGTTTTGGCTTTATTTACTAGTTTCCTCTTGTGGCCTCATAGCTGGAAAAAATATGACTTCCATGATGTTTTGTGACTCAATCAAAATCATTGCAAGTCGATCAATACCAATTCCCCATCCAGCTGTAGGTGGTAATCCGTATTCAAGTGCTGTGCAGAAAGTTTCATCAAAAGCCATTGCTTCATCATCACTAGATTGCCGGTCTTTGAGCTGATCAGTAAAGCGTTGACGTTGAACAAAAGGATCATTCAACTCAGTGTATGCATTGCAAAGTTCTTGCTTGTTGACAAACAGCTCAAATCGTCCAGTCAACCCAGGCTTAGACCTATGCCATTTCGCGAGCGGACTCATTATTTCAGGATGGTTGATGATAAAAGTTGGGTTAACACACATCTCTTCAATAGGATGGTTGATGATAAAAGTTGGGTTAACAAACATCTCTTCAAGGAAGTGCCCGACAAGTTTTTCAAGCAGTCTATATGTAGTCTGAGGGGGGCACATCTTATCTCAAACTTGGTGCATGCATCTGCCAGAAACTTGTTAGCCTCATCACTAGCAAGCTTAGCAAGATACATGGGTATACTGAGATTTGCCACTTTCTCTACCTCTTTGATCTAGTGCTGGACTCGGGCCGGGCGGCCCGAACCAGAACCGGCCTGGCCCGGCCCGGTTACTGTGTGAACCGGCCGGCCCGGTGGCCCGGTCCACTGGCGGTTCGGGTCGAACCGGCCCGGTGGATACCGGTTCCGGGCCCGGGCCCTCTATTTGGTGAACCGGCCCGGCCGGTTCGGGCCCTGTCCGGGCCGGAATAATTTTTTTTTTTGATTTTTTTTTTTTTAATTTTTGGGTTGGATTAGGTATTTTGGGCCATTTGAGGTGGTTTGGGGTGGTTTGGGGTTGAGGGGGAGGGGTAGGGGGTTAAATAAGAGAAGCCAAAAAATCAAAAAAAAAAAAAAAAGGGGCGGGTGAACCGGCCCGGTCTGGCCCGGAACCGGCCCGGAACCGGTCACCTGCCGGTTCGGGCCCGGGCCCTCCTTTTGGTGAACCGAGGCCTGGCCGGTTCAAGGCCAGAACCGGGCCCGGCCCGAACCGAGTCCAGCCCTACTTTGATCATATCAATTCTTCTAAAAGGTGGGGAGTAAGTCTATCTCAATGGGGTCTTTATCCACGCCATTTCCGCGATACTTACTTATATAGTCACCTGTAAGCTCCTTCACCATCCCACTATTCCACTAAGCATTTTCTCAGTAAGGCTCATCAAGTCATTGTAATCTGCATAAGCCATGTAAAACTCACTGGTAGTGAATTCAGGATTGTGTGTCAAATCAATACCCTCATTCCTAAATTGCTTCCCAATTTCATAGACTCGTACCAGTCCACCAACGACTAGCTGTTTAAGATAGAGTTCAGGTGCAATGCGCATGTAAAGCCTCATATTCAATTCATTGTGGTGAGTAACAAATGGGCGTGCGGATGCTCCTCCAGCAATAATGTTCATCATGGGAGTCTCAACTTCCAGGAAGTCAAGATTGTTAAGGAAACTTCTAATGAAATTTTGGATCTCCGGATTCAGCATCAGATCCAAATAGCGTTGTCTGTACCGTGTTTCTTGAACTTTCAATATAATAGTATATAGGTTTCTAGGCATCCCAGGGGCCATTTCATCAGTTTTCTTGGATTCAGTCTGGGCTCCTTTCTGCCGTGGCATCCAATTTGTCATCGCAGCCGGACTGTTGTTGTGCTCTCCCCATTGTTGAGTGTCACTCTTCTGTTCTGCCCATATCATCCTTGATTTTCTATTTTGTTTCACTTTATCTAGGTGCTCTAGAACATGCAATAGGGGGTTGGACTCTATTGGAATCTTCACTTTATATATTATGAACGTTTTTGATGCATTAAACCACTAAAGTATACTACCTTTGTCCCCCTAAAATTGGGACAAAGGGGAGAGTAGTGCGGTCTTTAAGAAAAGTTGAGTTATGTGGTTTTTAATGAATTAATATAGTAGAAATAAAATAAGAATGTCTTAGAGACACACAAACATTATCAAATATGATACTCCGTATGTAACAAATTTAGTGGGATGGACGAAAAAGGAAAAATGGGTCAATTATAGCGGGACAGTGGGAGTTGAGATTATATGCCTTTTCCCATGAATATTTTAAATTAAATTCAAAAGACAAAAATATGATTTATTTTAAAAATTTCCAAAAAAGTGACATATTTAGTGACTTGTCATTTTGAAATACACTATAGTGACTAGTTCACACCGACTCGTACACAGTGTCTAGTCATATTTTTTTCCAACAAAAATAACTAGTCATATTTTTGTCTTGAAAAACTCTATTAGTAATATATATGTCATTTTTTTTAATTTTAAACATTAACTCCTGTTTTTAATTCAGTGACTTGGATAAAAGTAATGAAAGCAATGAGTCCATACATTATAAGCAATGAAGGTTAATAGCTTCTAAGTTTGAAGCTATTAACCAAAAAGAAACTTTATGAAGGATAGATTTGAAAAACTATCCAAAAATCTTACATGACTTGAATAAAAGCAATCCCAATTTGTGCCTTCGGGTGGAATCAACTGAAAACCGTTGAATTTATGTATATGGTCATCACTTAATTATGGCTTATTCTACACAACAATAAAAAAAAAAGAACTGAAAAAAACAAATGTCACAATGTGACACGAGAACTTCACTTCATGTTTTTCCTTAACGGTAAACAATGCTCAACGGATAGTGCACGACCGACCACTTTATATCACTTTCCTGGGACGTTTGAATTGGACTGTTTTTGCTATTATTTGTGTTGAAATTGGTTCAATTCCTTGATCTTGAAGGTAACAAAATGACCATAAATTGTTTTTAAAGCGAAGTGTAAAAAATTCCTTTTGTGGTGTGGGTTTCATCATTTCCATTTGAATATAATTATATAAATACATATTCAAATCAACATGTTAGTTTTTGGATAGTTTTTCTTTATGATCTCTAAGTATTGAACCTCAAATATTTTATGAGTCTTTAATACTTGCGTGCCCCATCAGTCCTTTTTGGTTTTTGAGATTGACTTGGTTTGATAGTCAAACAGCTAATCCTAGTGTTTGGTACATGATTTTGTATTTCTTCTTTGTAATGTGAATTCAGTTATAATAACAACATCCAAGGTTTACTCTCAAAAAATTTGGGATCAACTAATTTAACATGAATCGACATAAAAAAATCAAAGCAACAAAAGATAAAAAAAAAAAAGATTATGATAAGATAAAAAAAGATAAAATATAAAACCAGATAAGAGGAAGGTAAAGATAAAGTAAAGATAAAAAGATAAAAAAAGACTAAGGAATCTAAGAAGATTTAAAAAAGGGAAAATTAGTATTGACCCCTGAGGTTATATATGTCATAATTATTAATTATTAATGCAACCATGCATTTTCAAAAATCAATTAGTTACCCCTGAGTTTTGTTCATTCTCATTCGTTGCCCCTCTCACGTTAATATTTGTTAAAATAAATTTAGAAATTTAATATAACTCTTAAATTTAACGAAAATGATCTATAAAATTATTTTTTAAGTAAAACAGGAATTATTATTATAATTATAAGTAATTATTGTTGATCGTTATTTTTCTACTTAGCTATTTCATCGTGGAATAAATATTATTGAGAGTAGTTAAGGGAAAATACTCATGAGTAAGATATAAATATGATAAATTTTAATATTTTCAATTTAAATAATTAAATATTAATAATAGACCTATCTTTTAGGTCTTTAAATGATAAAATTCCTACACACGAAAAAATGTCATTGATATTAATTCAACTGGGTGAATATCAAATAAGAATTTTGTATTCATGATGAAAAAGTGCCTAAAATTTTGATAACACGTTTTTAAGCAATTTCATTTGATGAAGCCCATGAACGTTACTCGTGAGTCTTTCTCTTAACTACTATCATTAATACGTATACCATGATCGAATAGCTAAGTAGAAAAATATCGATCAACAACAATGATTTATAATTATGATAATAAATTGTATTATACTTTAAAAAATAATTTTATAAACAACTTTTATTGAATTTAAGATTAATATTAAATTTAATTTAACAAATATTAATATGAGAGGGCATATAGTGAGAATGATCCGAACATGGGGTAACTAATTGATTTTTGAAAATGCAAGGTTGCATTAATAATTATGACATAACCTCAGGGGGCTAATAGTAATTTTCTCTTTAAAAAATGAAATAAGATCAATCATCTAAACGAGTATTCTCACTTCGTTCTCTGCGCAGTAAAGTAATACTCTCATCCAACCTAAAAAATAAACTCACTCCTGACCCCGTAATTCATGTTTAGGTCTTCCTCTCCATTTTCTCCCCGCTTCTTCTCCCGGCCCATACTCGACTGGAAACACATCATTTTTAGTGAAATGGATGTATAATTCTTTTGGTTAATGTGAAATTTGACCTTTACTTATTTCAGCAAATGAATTGGATATGGTACTTGTGTTGTTCGATTTGTACTCGTTTTATTGTTCATATAAACACGATTTTTTGCTCATACAAAAGATTGTGTTATGAGAATTATGTGTTTGAGAACAAAATATGCAACTATTGCTTATTTACGGATAAACACAAAGGCAAGACGTCCTGATCAACTTTCCAAATAATTGTTTGTGTGAACAAAAAATGTTGTAACAAACAAAAATGTTATAGTCTAGACAAAAATAATGTTTGTGTAAACACAACACTTGTTGTACAAATGTGTTGTACATCAATCATGACTATTATTTAAACCACATCTACAAGCAATTTTACTGATTCAGAATTATACCCAGTTTTAAGTTTTGAATTATTCATATCTGCCTTTTTATACCATGAAGCTAAATCAAATTTCCATAAGTGTATTATAGAGAATATAATTTTCCAGCTTAATAAATTCATTCTTATTTGGTTAAAAATACTTAAATTAATTCAGTTGATTCACATGCAAACGACCATGGTGAGAAACTGGCAAGCTAGACATCATCATTTCTTCAGACCGTTAAAGACACCAAACACTGTTGCTTTCACTTGCTCCCAACTTCATCTTTACGATTTAGCAACAAATAATACTTTATTACACAAATGGGAGGGCCAGTTTCCCCCTCAAATCTCTTCAGTTTGTCCCCACTCTGCTGGTTTCAACTTCTTCTTTACACTTCTTTTTAAATTTAAAAAAGAAAAGATAGCAATCCCATATTACTGCTGCTTCCATCTTTACTAGAATATTTTCATCACTTTGGCCTTACATTTTTAAGTTTAACTGTTTGACTGTTTTAAGTTTCTTTGATGGACTTCCACCTCCATTCATGCTTCTGTCTCCTCTCTTTTGCACTACTTATCCAATTCTCCTTTGGTGATCAAGAGGGTATGTAATGAACCTAAAGCTTCTGCCTTTTTCAATATACCTAGTATGAGTTAGTTTTTCATTTTCTGTTGTAAATGAGACAGGATTCTTGAGTTTATCATGTGGTGGGACCACCAGTTATGTGGACCCCTTGAACATTTCATGGATACCAGATGATGCTTATGTTTCTGCTGGCAACATTACAACTGCTAATGTTCTTGATGGTTCCTCTTTACCGGTCCGGTTCTTTCCTGAGTCCCAAGCCAGAAAGTGTTACAGATTGCCTCTGGACAATACGTCTGTTACGGTTCTGGTTAGGACAAGATTTGTGTATAAGAACTATGATGGGCTTAACCGCCCCCCATCATTCTCTGTGTCTCTCGGGAGGGCCATCGTTCGGGCTATTAATCTCAAGAATGATGATCCGTGGACCGAAGAGTTTATCTGGAAAGTTGATCAGGACGTCTTGCCTTTGTGTTTTCACTCTTTTCCAGACAGTGGTTTCCCTGTAATTTCATCTCTCGAACTTAGGCCGCTTCCGAATGAAGCTTATTCGAGTGGTCTGGGTGGTACTCTCAATAAGTTGCTGAGAAAATGTTATAGGATCAATTCTGGTTATAATGCAGCACTAAGGTATGAGCTCTGACTCTCTTACAGTTACAATTCTCTAGAAAATTTCTCATAGAATTTAGGATTATGTTTGTTATAGACCGAAACATACTAAAAGATGAATCATGAATCTAATCCATTAGCTAGTTCAACCTTAAGTCTTGTCTATTTAATTTACCTGATATGAGATACTTAATCAACTAATCATACACGTCGGTCTAGACGGTGTAACTGTGTAATCTTTTATGTAGGGCACACACACCAAATGAAGGTAACTTCTTTGAGTTTGTGCACTTTTTCCATATATAGTCTTCTGCTAAGTCAATCTAAAAAAGCTCTCAAAATGTGAGCATTGTATAGCATTTATAAATAGCTCATTCAATAATTAATTCATATGTAGCTTATATCTGATACTTTTTAACAAAAAAAACATCTGCCTGCCAGATATCCAGTTGATCAGTACGACCGAATATGGGAAGCCGATGAGGATTTTACCCCGTCTCACGTCTCATCTGGCTTTGATATTCAAGAATATGTGAATGGGACTGGTCTGAATGAGAACCCTCCACCAGCTGTTCTTCAAACTGCAAGGGTTTTGGCCAGGTGGAGAGACTTGACTTACACCTTCCCTCTTGATCACCAAGGAGACTACTATATAGTCATCTACTTTGCTGGGATCCTTCCACTCTCCCCAGCATTTGATGTGTTGATCAATGGGGATGTTTTTTGGTCAAACTACACGGTCAAACGATGGGAAGTTAGCAGTCTGGTGTTTACAGTTACAGGAAACACTAGCCTGAGTGTCTCATTGAGGACTATTGACTACTACCCTTTGCTCAATGGGGTTGAGATTTATGAGGTCCTAGACATTCCATGGGAAACTTCTTCCACCACTGGTTTGATTCTTTATTTTCTTAGCTTTCTTGTCTGGAAGTGATAACTGGTCTCCTGATTTATGGTTTCAATTCTTTATGCAGTTTCAGCCCTTGAGATTATTGGGCAGTCCACTGGTTTAGATCTTGACTGGGAATTTGACCCATGTTCTCCAATAACATGGGATCACTTGAAATGTGAAGGGAATCTGGTTACCTCATTGTCAGTGAACAAACTTTTGCCCACATATTGTATTTTCCCAAGGGTCCGTTTGGAACTCAGAAAATGCGAGGGAGGAAAATAAAGGAAAACTTTAGAAGGAAATAAATAATGATGTTTTATACTCCATATAGTGTTTTTATTAAAACAAAACTCATACACAAAATATAACGTCATCAACACTGGTAAAAAAATATTCACCATGTGTGCTGCAAATGAAATAGAATATCATTATGCTAACCAAAAGTCACTAGGAAATGCCACACTGGTCGCTATGCATTAAAACGTATTTTTATCATTAATTTGATTTCTGTCATATATTTGTCACTATTTACCAAAATGTGCACGCGTAGAGGGGATAAAAGATAGGTTCAAGCTAAACTGTTTATTTATATTTGTTCAAACTCAAATTATATTTTTAAGACAAGATTACGATATCCTAACATCATCATCATCATCATCATAACATTTGCAAAAAAAATATAATCTTACCCATATTTAATTTTCTTTTGGATATTCTGAGATAAAACCCCACACAAGAACCTTCATTGGACTTATTTTTCTTTCCACAGGATTTTCTGGGATCCAAACATAACGTAAGCATTTCTTTTATTGAAATCTCTTGATACTGATATGTAATGGTCAGGGTGCTAACTGACATTGATTTGAGGTCGATCAGTCCAACGTTCAGTGATCTGCTGGATCTCAAATATCTGTAATACTTCATCATATGTTAATTATCTGCTATATATGATATCCTTTGGTGAAAATAAATTAGAACCACAGTTACATTTGTGCAGAGATTTGCATAACACTTCACTCACTGGGGAGATACAAAATCTTGGTAGCCTTCAGCATCTCAAGTACCTGTATGTCTTCTGAGCTGGACTTCAAATATAATGACTTTCCAGAAATGTTATTAGTTTCATACGAAGTATTAACTTTCTATCATGTCACCTTAAGTGTTGATTTGGAATACGAAAAATGCTAGGAAAAGGAAGTGTAGAAGAAAGTGGGAAAAAAATTGGAAGGAAAGAAAACATGGGTGGAAAATAATAATTGGAAAATGGAAACTAATAATCCAACCTTTTAACTGCTAAAAGGTTGGATTATAAGTTTCCATTTTCCCAATAATATAATGGGCCAAACTCAATAAATCAATTTTATATCTATCTCAAACTCAATTTATTAATGCATTTCTACTATGTATATAAAAAGAAAGCAATCTAATTATACGTACAGTTTCAAAAAGTTCTAATCAAACCCAAATTTCATTCACATTTTCCAAGGTTAAATCAATTGATAAATTAATTTTCCCAACCATTTTTCCCTCCCATACTATTTTCAGTGTCCCAAACATAGCCTAAAGATTCTTGTACAACATTGCAGGAACTTAAGCTTCAACCAACTAACAGCTTTTGGTTCTGATCTGGAGGACTTGATAAACCTTCAAGTTTTGTAAGCCCTCTGATCTTTCATTGAGGATAAAATGTAATTTCTGTCAAATGGTTATTAGTACTGATTACTAAATAAGTGTCACTTTCTGTTTCTAAATGAAGGGACTTGCAGAACAATAGTTTGCATGGAATAGTACCTAATGACTTGGGGGAGTTAAAGGAGCTTCACTTATTGTAAGTTGTGTGGCAAGTGCAAAAACCATCCATCTTTCCTCCAAAACCTTATTTCGAATTGCTTTCTCATTCCGGAACATTCAGGAACCTGAAAAACAATAAGCTACAAGGCCCTTTGCCAAGGTCTCTGGATAGAAAGGGTTTGAAAGTCCGGTATGGAACTTAAAGTACGTTAATGTTGAAGAATTTGTCCCACATCGGTTGAATATTAAAGAAAGACGTTACTTTCATTTCTTGCAGAAAATCAGGAAATCTATGTCTTTCCTTCACGGCTTCTTTCTGCAATGACTTTTCCATCAATACTTCAATAGAGACGCCACAAGTCACAGTCTTAACCCCTAAGAAGCACAAAGGCCAAAAGAAATTAACACTTATACTTTGTGCAGTTGGAGGAGCTGTGTTTTCCATTTGTCTAATTTTATTTGCAGTTTTTTTGTTCATGAGACAGAAGAAAAGAAGATATACATATGCATCAAGTATGAACAACTTAGTTTTATTTAGAGTTTGAGTAAGAATGTTATTTTTTATTTATTACAAAATTTGGACTGCAACTTTTCATATAAATTTCAGGAGGTGGAATTGATATGAAGAATTTGTATGCTACAAAAGTGATATCATATAAGGAGATCAAGACAGCAACTAACAACTTCAAAGAAGTCATAGGCCGTGGCAGCTTTGGACCGGTTTATTTTGGCAAGCTTCGTGATGGTAAACAAGTTGCTGTCAAAGTGCGGTATGCTAAAACTCAGATTGGGGCTGATTCTTTCATCAATCAGGTCTGTTATCTATCATTGTACTGTTAGAGTCCCACACCTGACAAATAAAGAGAAAATGGTGGGATTAGTTAATAAGATATTGAGTTGAATGAGTGAGCTAATAAACAGAACCCAACATTTTAGTGTGGTGTGGAACAAGTGCATTTTGACCTTTTTCTGAATAAGCCACAAAGAAAAGAAAAGAAAAGAAAAGAAAAGAAAAGAAAAGAAAAGAAAAAGGATACTCTCATACAAAGAATATGTGATTTTCCGGATTCTTTATTAGCTTAACAGTTAGGTTGTTAGGAGATAAATCTCGCATCAAATAAATATAAACACATAAACCAACATTTAAAGTCTTGGACATAGATTTAGTCCAAGTCAGATGTAGTTGACATTTATGACGAACCCAAGTTTGAATACATTCATGTCCTATCTCTGATTATAGGCATCTCTTCTATTGCAAATTCGCCACCAAAATCTAGTTTCTTTAGAAGGATTTTGCCAGGAATCGAAGCAGCAAGTTCTAGTATATGAGTATTTAGCAGGAGGATCACTGGAAGATAACCTTCATGGTAGGTTTCTCATTCGGACAGACGACATACACATTTTAAATCCACTGATAGCCTTTTCCTTTGTGTCATAATTCAATTCCCTTCATTATTTCAGGTGCAAATAGTAAAAAAAGTACAATGAGCTGGGTGCGCCGACTCAAAATAGCTATAGATGCTGCAAAAGGTGTGTTAATATACATATATTGTAGAACTTAAGTTGATACGTAGTACGAGTCAGGGGTCACTCAACTTGGCTACAAGGCACTTGGGCTAAACCACACCAAAAAAAATGATTCCCATCGATTAGCTAGTTAAACCAAGGTTATATTAACTCATCATTTTCTGTTTACTTGTCTGCTGTGGACTCTAATGTAGTGTTATTGTCACTTAAGGTCTGGATTACTTGCATAATGGGAGCGATCCACGCATCATACACCGCGATGTGAGATGCAGCAATATACTTCTGGACATGGATATGAATGCCAAGATTTCTGACTTTGGACTTTGCAAGAAAGTCCTTCAGGCTGATGCAAGTCCTCATGTCACCACTGCTCTCAAAGGCACAGCTGGATGCTATCTTGATCCAGAGTACATTACAAGATTCTGCTTTACCACCATATTTCTCCTCTATAGATTCACTCATTGACTCACTAATTCATACCAACAACAGGTACTACACGACATACCAACTTACCGAAAAGAGTGATGTCTACAGCTTTGGAGTCGTCCTACTGGAGCTCATATGTGGCCGAGAACCACTGGATCACTCCGGCACACCAGATTCTTTCAACTTAGTTCTATGGGTAAAAGCTGACTATTTCAACACAAATAACCCTTTCTCTTAGTATGCAAAAGTGAAGCTTATAGATTCTTTTGGGGGGTGATTTTCAGGCGAAGCCATATTTGCAAGCTGGTGCTTTTGAGATAGTAGATGAGAGCATAAAGGGAAGTTTTGATGAAGAGAGCATGAAAAGGGCAGCTTTGATAGCTTCCAGGTCTGTAGAGAGGGATGCCTTGAGAAGGCCTAATATTGCAGAAGTGTTAGCTGAGCTCACAGAAGCCTACAACATCCAGCTCTCTTATCATGCCTCTGCTGGACTTGCCAATTAATATTCATGCATACCTCACATCTTTATATATATATATATATATATATATATATATATATATATATGCACACACACATACACATATAACCATAATTCTTGTACACATTTAAACCCTTCTATTTATTCAGTGTTAGTGTTTCCTTGTTCCCGTGAGAAGTGTTTTATTTCATAGATTATAGGGAAAATGTGTAATTGTATATGTTGGTTGTGTATGCAGATAGATGTAGTTTTAAAAAGTAAAAGTTATAGTGTTCGGTAAAAAGTACTTTTTTGGTGTATTATATATTTACATAGTTTAGGTAAAATCTTATATAAAAAGTATAAAGGAGTTTATATTTTTTTTGTGCAATTCTTTCTAACCTATTATAGTATTTGTTCAATGTTAAGCCAACATCCTTGAACTGGAATGGGATTCGAACTTGCGACCTCCTCCTTGAGAGTGTCACAGTGATGCTATCAGACCACAAGATATTTGGCAGGAGTTTATATCTTTTAAAAAGTAAAAGTTATAGTGTTCGGTAAAAAAGTACTTTTTGGTGTATAATATATTTATATAGTTTAGGTAATATCTTATATAAAAAGTATAAAGGAGTATATCTTTTAAATCTAAAGTCCTTAAAGGTAAGTAGAAGCATCAATTTGAACATACAACATTTAGCATTTTTTAAACAAAAAGCGGAAAATTACTCTTTAAGCAATAAAAAACACACCTCAAGTATGTTAGACAAATAAATAATGCATGAAATTGTTTGTTAAAGAATACAACGAAGTAGTCAGCCCACAACCTTGTGAAAAATATTCCTTGTTGCAGCCTCTTTCATTTCCATCAAAATGGTTTTTGTCCACGTCCACACAGGGATGGATTTAGGGGGGGGGCGCGGGGGGGCGACCGCCCCCCTTGGACTTTTAAAATTTTCTACCATATATGTAATATTTTCATAAAACTTTCATAGTTTAATTAGATTCGCCCCCCTTATCTTTTAATTTTCAAAATTAATATATAGTGTTACATAATGTAATACTTAATTGAAGATTTAAAAGAAGGAACATCTAAAATAATTACATAACATAAACAAATAAACAATAGAATAACTCGTTGTTTAAGATTTAGGATACTTATTATATAAGAATTCCTAGTTTTGTAGTGTTTAATTATCTTTATTAGATAACAAGTACTTGATTTTGTAAAATATATATCAAACATTATTAAATATCAGACACACTAATTACACAGTTTTTAGATCACGTGAAATGAATCCAAAATATAAATGTTTATTGACATTAAATTACATAATTCATTTACTTCTTGCTTTCTAAAAATAATTTATTGCATAGATAATAAACTTTAAATTATTATAGCATTAATACAAATATTAAAATATAATATGCACCATATATGTGTGTATGTGGTGCATATTATTCTAAAAATAATAATATCATACATACTACGTACTATTGTAATATTAAGAAAACTTCTCATGAGTCATGACTCACGAACACCCTCCTTGGTGGCCGGACAAAAATTACAATTCAATGATAACCGATTTATGAGGTTAAATAATGTAGAAGTTATTAAAAATGTATTGGTTGATGTCTTTGTCATCGTCTAATTTAAACTTAGAATGTACTACTTAATAGATTTAAATGTCGTTGGGGATGTGTACGTATTAATGTCATTTTTTGAATAAAATTAGCCGCATAGCTTTACAGTAGCGGAAAAAATTCGCCCCGCTACACTAGGGAAAAAATTTCGCCCCACTACACTAACGAAATTTTTTTCACCCCTACACTACCGAAAAATTTCGCCCCCCTTAAATAGAAATCCTGGATCCGTCCCTGTGTCCACAGGAAAATGGGGTTGTTGGAATGATGAGCACTATTCTGAGCATTTGAGGTGTTCCATCTCCTTCCACTAAACCATGCGAACTTCCTTTATTTTGGTGTTCCAAATTACTTTGTGATCAGTTTTCAATTAAAATAATTAATTTACTCTTAATACTATTTCTATTTCTTTTAAATCACACATATTACTTTCTTATGCTATGTGTCATTCGTCAAAATTTAAAGAAATAAGGACAACATATAATACCAAAGAAGTTTAAGGATGTTTTTACTTGGATTGTAATTTGTTCCAGACCAGATCAGACCAGCAAATTAAGTCCAAGTAATCCTAACAATTAGAATGTTAGCAAATACATTGATAAAAAAACATGATTATTAAAATTTGTTTTATAAGTCGTACAATGAATTGTATAATTTTAATGTCACAGTAATTCACTACTTCACATTATCTGATTAATGTTTAACTAGTGTGTAGTTTTTAGAGTAAATTTCCTAAAAAAAAATAACTTAAATTTAATACATTGTAAAACCAACAAAGAGGTGTTATTGTTTTTTATAATAAAAAGTACGGAGTATAGAATAAAACGGTATGTAATACCTGTAGAACCCTGTGAAACTCAAAAATTGTTTTCAAAATTAGGCTAGAAAGGGAAAAGAAAGATGGAGGTGTCAGGTTCATGATTCAGCTATTGTAATACTACAACGGCAGAAAAAAGATTCAAAAATCTTCATTGTAGAGTAAAAAACATGAAGGGATGATGTTGAAACTTCATAGTATTATCCAAACAAACATCTAGAAGTAAAACAAACAAATTAAACGTACAGGAAGGGATGCGTGCACTCAAGGACATCCATGTTGTTGATCTGCATGTCCTCCCCACACTGTTGTGGAGGGAGCTGAGGCACCGACAATCGTAATATAGATCACGTACTTGAGCACTTATTACTACCCCACCCCGTTCAAAGGTTCATGTGGCAAAATTGCACGATTATTTAGGCAATAATTAAATATGATAATTCAAGTATAGTTTGAAAAATATTTTTGATGAGTATTTAATATGATGATTTATTATTTTATTGATGATAATTGTGACGTTATAAATGTATTATATATTATTACTATTTGATTATTAAATTATTATTTAAGAGTGTTAATTGTTTCCTAAATAGAAAATGGTAACCTTAATGTGAGACGTCCAAAAAAGGAAAGTAGAAATCTTTGAATGAGACAAAGGGAGTATATATATTATGGGTGCTTTGAATTTCCTAAGATATTTTTATGATAATTGTTTCTTCTCATTCATTGGTATCATTATCATTTTTTTACAACTTCTTACTTATAAGCATATTACAAAAACAGTCTATGTATTTGATTTGATTTTTTTCCGTTTCGAGCATTTTATATCTCGTCGGAAAGATCATTTTGAGTTCTAAAACTAGCGTTCCTATTTCATTTACAATGTATTAAGGAAAAGGTACATATTAACCTGAAAGTCATAAACATTTTCAATTTCACTCCGAATTCGTGTAGTATTTGATCTAGGGATGGACCCGGTTCGGGCCGGGTCCGGTTCGGGGCTTGAACCGGCCGGGCCTCAGTTCAAGGTTTGGGAGGCCCGGAACCGGCCCGGGTAAACCCGGGTCCGGTTCGGGCCGGGTCACCCGCCCGGTTCACGGGCCGGGCCTAATATTTTTTTTAAAAATTATATATTTTATTATTATAATAATTCTTATTAAAAACAAAATTCAAGTGCATTTATTTGAAATAGGAAGTACATTTGAGAATTGAGAAAACAATAACAATATGAAATACATTTACTAATAAATATCAATTGGGATTTCCGCCATCGTTGGTTGTTGGTTTGCCTTTGTCACATGATTTCATATGTTTTATTGGCATCCCGACTCCGTGTGAACGCCCCAAGCAACACTCTTTCTTGCACCACTTGCAAGTTGCCCACCACAGTCCGATATTCGGGTCCTTCCACTTATCAAAATTGTTTTGCATAACAGAAGAATTACTTTCCATCTTTAAAATGGTAGATGTATAAGTACAAATGTAGGATAATAAGAGAAGATGGAGATGGAGAAGAGTTGGATAAGAGGTGTAGAAAAATGGTAGAAAATAGATGTATTTATAGATTTTTTTGAACCCCACCCCCACACCACCACCCCCGGGACCCCCTGCCCCCCACACTAAGCCCCAACGGCTATATAGCCGTTTGGGAGCAATTTTGTATTTCAAAATGTTTTAATTTTTTTTTTGAAAATTATACATATTGAAAATAAGTTAATTAATTTAATGAATTAAGTAAAACTATTTTTACTCATAAAAGTGATTTGATTTATAATTTACAAATGTTACAAAATAGGTGTATAAGTATTTAAACAAATTACATATTGAAGTTGTAACTTGTAAGTTTGTAACCAATTAATTAATTTACATATTAATATTATTTTGAATTGATTACAAATTTACAAATTAATACAAATTTTATGAGAATTATTGAAATATGAAGTACAAGTTTACAAATTAATTTTATTGAATTGATTATTGAATACATTTTTTTAGAATTATTGAATTGATGTACACAATAATATAAAATAATTCAAGTATATTTATTTCAAATAAGAAGTACAATTGAGAATTAGGATGCATTTAAAAAATGTAATACATTTTGTAATAAAAAATCAATCGGAATCCCGCCTTCGGTGGTTGTTTCCTCCATAAAGTGGCGGGTGGGAGCGATGGTCATTTCTTGAGTTCTTCGTTTGGCCTTCAACCAATCGTGGAAGCAAACTAGCGTCTCAAGAGAGCTCGGGCTCAACCTCGTTCTATAATCGGTTAGGACGTTGCCGGCCGCACTAAATTCTTGTTCCACGGCAACTGTTGATATCGGCATTGCTAGCACTTGCTTAGCCATCTTTGATAAAACCGGGAACGTTCTTTCATTTTCCTTCCACCACTTAATAACGTCAAAGTCATCCCCAACTTCATAAGCAACATTCAATGTTAGATACAAAGAAAGCTCGTTAACTGAGCTTTGTTCAGTAGCGGGAGTTGCTCTACTTTTTTTCATAAGAGAACCAAATGCAGATTTTAAAAGTGATTTTCCTTTAGATGAAGAAGATGTTCGCGACATGGGAGGGGGTGCATTACCATACTGTGCATGAAATTCATTATACAATTGATGAAATAAATTACTAACCTCGTTGTATTCTTGTTTAGGGTCGATGGGATTATCATCGAACTCTTGAGTTGGAAAAAAACAAGCATAATAGTAATCTATACAACTTGGCAACGAGGCAAGTTTATAAAGAGGATCAAGAACAAATGCAATACCATATATATGCGGAACATGTGAATAATATTTTAAAAACTTTTGTTTCATGAAATCACAAAAATAACTAACGTAAGCGGCATCAGAAAATTCTAAAAAAGCGCTGGCGAGATTAACAGCTTCAACAAAAAATTTGTTTGCGGTAGGTT